AAAAAAAAACTCCAAATAAAAACAAATATGTGAAACTTAAATGCCGTTTAAAAAATTGTGGTAAATTTGTTGTATGTAATAATGTAATCTTAGATTATCTACGTATTAAAGAATTATTCTTAAAATTGGCATATATTAGACAAAAGACATACTCGAATGACAATTAAAAACAAAGTATAAAAAGGTATAGATCCCGGGCATTAAAATCATTAGATAGTGTTATAGAGATAATTTTTTTATATAATTTTTACATATTATTAAATAAGTAGATGTATTTAATATTATGAATTTCACATAAATTAAAAAAATTAATAATTTAAAAATATATTTAATTATATAAAAAAATAAGATAAAAATATTATACAAAAATTATTTTTCAAAATCATTTATAAATTTTTATCAAAATAATAATAATAATTTATAAATAGTTGTAAGATTTTTAATTCCCTTCAACCACCATGAATCAGGACGGAATTTAGGACAGCACTATCATTGTTCAACTTCGACACTAAGAAACGCGTGGTTAGGTTAGGTGTGAACGTGGAAATGATTCCTTCACGTTTCTCTGAACTCCGCAGTTTGGTCAAAGAAAAATATACTGCTGCGTCATGTTGGATTTTGTTGTTTTATTTTATTTATTTATAATTATAAAAAAATTATTTAGTATAATAATTAATATATTTTTTTTTAATTTTATATAATATACAAAATCTTAACATTTTATATATATATATATTATTTTGGTTACATAATAAAAAGTAACTACGTTCTATCTCTTATTTTATTTCATTGTATGTCATGTGATTTAAATTCAAAATTTTTTACTTTAAGTGAAAAGAAATAACCATTGAATTATTTAGATTGTTCATAATGTATCTTTATTTTTAAAAAATAAAATATTAATATTTAATATATTATTAAAATAGAAAATAAAACTATTAAACTAGATTATCCCCACGTAAAAAATGAGACAGATATATCCAGCCGGGAGTATTATTGTACTGATAATATGAATGCCACTACCAAGTCAAACAAGAATTTTCTTTTGGGAAGAAAAGTCAGACGGACGGGAAATTAAGTTTGCAGATGAATTGAAATGAGATACTAACTTCTTTCCCCCTTCTCTTTTAAATTTTGGAGATAAACACACCACGGAGTACTAAGAACTTTAACATTTAGACTTGTTAGAAACACCCTCCACTTAATGATACAAAATGGTCCGACCATAGTACCTAACTAACTTTAGGACTCTTAAGTCTTAATTAAATTTTAGGATGTGTTTGATTTATTAGGAACTCTTAAAAATTTTGACAATTTGGCTTCGTTTAATATTTTGAATTTGGGATTAAAAAGTATGTAATCAATTATAATTCTTTATAATAGTAATTACTTACCTATAGTGAAAATTACTTTTTGATAAAAAATTTTAGAAGAGAGACTCCCTAGATATAAAATTATTTATATATTTTTTATAATCAAAGGTATCAAATATAATCACTTATATTCCTTATGCAAGCAATTTTAACCCTAAACAAAATTCTTATCTTTTTCTCTCCTGAAATCTTTGTTTCATTGACTAAATCTTGAGTGGACAACTTCGTTGAAAATTTTTTCCTGATACCTAATCAATCAAACACGCCCTTAGTATTAAATTGTGATGACAGGCTAAACTGTCACATATTGTCTTTTATCCTTGGAGGCATGCTGCTTTGGTAATTAGTGTTACCTTGAATCCTAATGGTTTCGAATATTTGTGTTGAGAAAAATACAGAGAGAAGGAAAATTATATATATATATATTATTTTACTCTTGTTTTCTTTTTATCATTTAAATAAATAAATTTTTTTTAAAAAAAGTAAAAAAAAATTTTTCCCTTTTAATTTTTTTTTATAATTAAATAAAAAAAATTGTTTTCCTCTTCTTTTTTATCCATTATCTTCAACATAAATATACTATTAACACATCGCCTATTTTCAAAAGAAAAAAAAAAGTATTAACCATCATTTTAAACAGTACACCTCAGTTTGACAGTGGCGGGAACCGCCATGCGAGATGGTGGCACATGGTGGTGTCGGCAAAATCTGACACTTCATTTTGTATTCTACCATTTCAGCAATTCCTAGTTTTCTTTTTTCAAAGTAGACGCCACACGACCATCGATGCTATAGGCCCATGGCATGGCAGGCAGAATTAGTACCAATGTTCCTTCTCTCACTCAACCATCACCCCTCACCTCCGTCACCATTACAATTTACATCTGATTTAGCTCGAAACTTAGGAGCATCATCACCGCCGTTGAAGCAGTGATCCTGAAGATCAATGGTTGAGAGCGGAAAGGTGCAAACTTTGATGCTGCAGAGTTTGCATTTGACATTCTTCAGTCCCAACAGTAACCTAACCACCCACACCTGTGTCTGTCCCCACAGCGGCAGTAATCGTCAAAAGAGAAAAAGAAAAAGGTGACAAAAGAAAAAGGAAGTGGAGACCCTCCATTATTTCGTCTTCGTGCTCGGCTCAGTTTGCAAGATAAGCAAAAACACAGTGAGGGAGGAGAGAACCCATTTGCATTTTCGGTGGAAAACTATGGAGGAGAGGCCGGAAACGGAGTTGATATCTATTCCAGCGACGCCGCGAGTATCCACGCCTGAGATACAGACCCCTTCAGGACAGAGGTCGCCAAGGCAGGCTTCCAAGGAGGCAAAGTCTTCGACCGGATGGACGCCGACTTCGTTTATTTCTCCAAGGTTTTTGAGCCCCATTGGGACTCCGATGAAGAGAGCTTTGATTAACATGAAGGGTTACTTGGAAGAAGTGGGTCATCTCACTAAGCTCAATCCTCAAGATGCTTGGCTTCCAATCACAGAGTCTCGCAATGGGAATGCTCATTATGCTGCATTTCATAATCTTAATGCTGGAGTTGGGTTCCAAGCTTTGGTCTTGCCTGTTGCTTTTGCTTTTCTTGGCTGGTACTGCTTTTTCCTCATTTCTCCTCTGCATTTCATAATCTTCTACTTTCTTACAATTTAATTTGATTGATTTCCTTCACTATTACTTGTTTTGATTATCTAGGATTAATTATATATAATCAAACAAAATCCAACTTTGATAGCAGGAATTTTTTTTCATCTGGTTCTGCATTAATTAACTAAAGGGTGTGGGAGTAATGGGCCTGGTTAGTTTTCTTTTTCTATTCCTAATTGTTTGTCATTGATTTCAATTGAATAAAGCAACAGTCCTCGAGGTTGAGGCAAAGTCATTTCTTCGATTATCTTCTGCTTTTTCAGCAGTTTCAATGAATTGTTCTAGACTACAGGACATGATATGTGTTGGGTCCGCTAATATTTCTGTTTCTTTTTAAGACCAAGGTCCCTTTATCAATCATCATTTGTAATTACTCGTGCACTACAAAGCTAAAGTGTGGTCCGGGTTATTTTTCTCTGAATTTAAATATCTGGGTAATTATTGTTGTTTGAACTTTGAAGAAAAAAGGAAAAACTTTAGAAAAAGAGAGAGAAAAAAAAAAAAATCAGTTCAACATTCAATTTTCCTCAGTTGAAAATATGAAAAGATGTGAAAATTGTAAGCAAAACTGTTCTCACTTAAGCTGAATCCAATTTGATGTTTCTGGGTGTTCCTGTAGGAGTTGGGGTATATTGTCCTTAACCATAGCCTACTGTTGGCAACTTTACACCTTGTGGATTTTAGTCCAATTACATGAAGCTGTTCCAGGAAAGAGGTACAATAGATATGTGGAGCTTGCACAAGCAGCTTTCGGTGAGAATAAGTGCTCTACATTCTATTCCTATTTTCAATTATGAAGTAGTGTATTCTACTTATAAGTTGCTATTGCATGGTAAAGGAAAGAAGAGAAAAGGAAAATATGAAATGCATGTTCAAAATAGGAAAACACTTGATTATCATTAGAAATTTTAAATTTCAGCCAATCTAGTCAGTATATCCAGTCTTTGCAGAATTCCAACTTTTTATTCCAGGCACCATATTGGATGAAGTGATCATGGTTCTGTGTTTTTATTTTGCAGGGGAAAGATTGGGCGTATGGCTGGCCCTTTTCCCAACAGTTTATCTATCAGCAGGAACAGCTACAGCTTTGATTCTCATAGGAGGAGAGACTATGAAACTGTTTTTCCAGATAGTTTGTGGACCTCTCTGCTCATCAAATCCTCTGACAACAGTTGAATGGTATCTAGTGTTCACATCTCTCTGTATTGTTCTGTCTCAGCTCCCAAATCTCAATTCAATTGCAGGGTTGTCACTAGTAGGAGCTGTGACAGCCATCACTTACTCAACTATGGTGTGGGTGCTCTCTGTTAGCCAACAAAGGCCACCACCTATCTCTTATGAACCCATTTCATTCCCATCTTCTGCTGCTAGTTTCTTCTCGATCATGAATGCACTTGGAATTATAGCCTTTGCATTTAGAGGGCATAATTTAGTTCTAGAGATTCAGGTATACGCTGGTGACCTTCAATTTCTAATGAAAAATGTTCATTTTCATCATCTAAGGGAATTCATTTGGTTTGTTTCAGGCAACAATGCCATCAACCTTTAAGCACCCAGCTCATGTACCAATGTGGAGAGGAGCTAAAGTTGCCTATGCCTTCATTGCCATGTGCCTCTTCCCAATTGCCATAGGAGGTTTTTGGGCGTACGGTAATCTTGTATGTTGTTCTAACCCGCACTTCATTCTTAAACTTCTATCTAGTACATAGATATACACTAAACTAGTCGAAGAAAGAGAAAATGTGTCAAGAATCAATTAATTTGCACTCTTAAAAGCTCAACTTGATAGGTGATTTAGCTTCAGTTCAAAAAACTTGATAGGTGAAACGCATAACATATACAAAATTCCTTTGCATCATGCAAATTTACTGATCATTGCCTATCTTTGTCCTGTTTTAGATGCCTTCAGGAGGGATCCTTAATGCTCTTTATGGCTTCCACAGTCACGACATTCCAAGAGGAATTCTTGCACTGACTTTTCTTCTTGTGGTGTTCAATTGTCTCAGCAGCTTCCAAATATACTCCATGCCAGCCTTTGATAGCTTTGAAGCTGGTTATACCAGCCGTACAAACCGCCCTTGTTCCATCTGGGTCAGGTCTGGTTTCCGGGTTTTGTATGGGTTTGTCTCCTTCTTCATAGGGGTAGCCCTCCCTTTCCTCTCAAGTCTTGCTGGCTTGCTAGGAGGACTCACTCTTCCAGTCACATTTGCTTATCCTTGCTTCATGTGGGTTCTGATCAAAAGACCTAGTAAATACAGCTTCAACTGGTATTTCCATTGGATCCTTGGTTGGTTGGGTATTGCTTTCAGCTTGGCCTTCTCCATTGGTGGTATTTGGAGTATTGTAAACAATGGACTCAAGCTGAAGTTCTTCAAGCCCAACTAAGAAGATTCAAAGTCCTTATAAACAGGATTAATTTTGTTGAATTCACAAGAGCACCCTCTTGTGTTCCCTTGTGTTTGTTTTGGGTTTGGAAGTTTTTTTGTAATTGTAAGCACTTCCTGTTTTCGTATGCCTGAATTCAGCTGTATCTTATTTTTCTTATATTCCCCATGAAGAAAATTGATGATAATCATCATGTTTGATGTCGTCCTTTTTTCTTTTTTTGTGACAGGAACAATAATTAAAAGTTAGAAGTTAGGTATTAAAAGTTAATATTTTGTTTTTTTGATAAAGTTTGATTACTGATCAAGGTGTATTTTATCAGCAGGTTTTTTGGACTGCAGTGACCACTAATGGACCATGACAAGGAATGCGTTTGATGTCATCTTCGAAAAAACACCATTGTGATATTGGCATCAAATCAAATCAATAAGTGGGATAAGTATCAAAATTCTAGACAAACACTAACATTTTCTTTCTAAAAACCCAAAAAAGAAGAGGAACAAAGAAATGACCAGTGAACCAACACGGCCTGAAGCCCAATGGTTAGTCCCAAGCCTTAGGGCTTAGGTGAGGCGGAGGTCAGAGTTTCGAGTCCTGCCATCGTTGTGAACTTCATCAACTTGCAACCTAATGGTTGCGCACCTCAAATGAGGGGATGGAACGTTCACTATCCTAGAAAAATTCCAGCTACTAACAAACTAACTCTACTAACTTCCAAACTATCTACTGACAAAAAAAAAAAAAAAAAAGAAATGACCAGTGAAGAAAGGTACGTTGTTTTCCACAGAAGAATCTGCCCTGACAGGTAGGGACAGACACCAAAAAATCTGCGTTTTCTGAGTCAATAGTTATCCAAAGAGAAATACATTTTGGCTTCTGCTTTGTCCAAATGCAGGATGTATCTACCTACCACGCAATGGTTAATTTTCACCCTTAAACAGTGCACGTTTTCTTGGTGCTTTCCTGGAAAGTGAAATGTCAGCTTCTTGCACTTTTCTCAGTTTAAAGAAACTTTAAAAGGAAGGAAGTATGAATGTTTGTTTAGGTATATTAATTGGTGGGGCTATGGAGACAATCTCCACAAAGAGGATAAAAATGATGAATCCAATTGACCCCATTTCTCTCAACATAAATGCATTCTTCCCTCCATCCACCATTCCCCACCGCAATCTCGTTCAGAAGAGCCAAATACAGGCACAGTAGTGGAATGGAATGATTTAAGGCATAATTGACACCCTCCATCCTTAATTATTGTAGTTTGGTAATTCGCCAAAATTAATTGAAACCTAACCACTGTCCTAATGAATGATGTCTTAAGCCAACTAACTACCAGAGTAAGTGGCCATGCCACTTTACTCTTTGTGGTTCGGCACTTTGGCATGTTGATGTGAGGTTTCGATCCCACACCACCCCGTCCTTTGTATTTTGTAATTTCATTCCCTCCCCATAATTACACGGGTTCAATTAAAAAAAAAAAAAGTGAAATGATACGCCTAGAACCACAAGGAACCATCTGGAGATCAGAGTAGGATACTTAACTGTTTGCAATTGCAGATCCAACAAATTGGATTTCCAAGCTTCTTGATATTTTGGAGGATTACACAGTTTTTCATATTTATGCTGTTCTTTATGAATTGGAACTTCAAACTTGAATTCAGCATGCTTAAACAGAACACTCATTCCGAAAAAAGAAAGAACATTAAATCTCTTGGAGATCATTTCATTCATCAAAAAGCAAATTCGACTATCCTTTTCACCAGTTTTCATTTCTTCCCAAGTTGCATAGATTTACAGATCAATCAAAAACGAAACGCTAAGCAAAAGGCCAACACTTTGATCGGACTAGTTATCTTCTGTTCAATTACAGTATATTCTACTGTAAAACATTAACCTATATACCCACCAAACACTGAACTCCAATGAAAAAGACAACGGTAAACTAGAAAAAAAAACAGCATTACTGACTAAGATATTCCGAGACACTACCTAATATAACCAAAAAGGATGAATCAAGACAAAACCCTTGTCTCGGAATGCCCAAAAGTAGCTTCATTTCAGGCCTTTTCCATGCGCAGAAATCGCCAGCCCTGGCCAACCGAAGCAATCCCCATCAGCCAATGCACCACCTCCTTGAATATCTTCGGCCACCGTCATCTGCCACTGATTGCAGCCGATAGTAGAACCACCAGCAAAACCACCCAGATAACCATTTCCGTTGTATACCCAAGCCCCATCAAATCCGTACCCGCCCAGAGTTAAGTACCCCTGTCCCGGAGTGCTCAAGAACGAACTGAAACTTCCAGGCCCTGGCTCTCCTCCCATAGTCTTGTTGAGATTCACATCACTCCTAACCATTTCAGGCTTAATTCCCGTGACGAGAACAGGCGAGAAAGTGTGAGCCGATACGGGCACTGACTCGGGCTCGTGAGTCACAACAGAAGAAGATGAAGCGGAAACAGGGGATGAAGCAGAGGAGGAGCGCGAGCGCTTGGAGGTTTTGCGGGTCCCGCCACCGACGGGGACGTTCCGGAGAGTACCACCGTGGGTCCAGTAGCGACGGCAGGACTTGCAGAAGTAGCGAGGCTGAGAGAGGTTGTAATTGTTGTAGTAGCAGAACTTGGTGCTGGTGGACTCACACCTGGGACAGGGCAGTGGCTCGTTGAGCTTCGGCGGTGGGTGTGAACCCGTGGTCCAAGGCGCTCTAGCCGGCCGCTTATCCTCAGAATCTGCTGGCATTTTTGTTGGCTTCAAGGGAAGAGAAGATTTTTTGACAGGGAAGGAAAGCGAAGAGAAAACAGAGGATGTGTTGGAAGTAGTGAGGAAGGGATTTGTTGAGAGCAATGGAATAAATATAAACTAGGTGTACTAGAAGAGACTGGATAACTTACATTAATAGTGACAGCGGCTCGACTTGAGTGGGTGGCTTGTTTCATAATGTTGTGGCTATGGAGCCTTAATTTGATTGATTCTAGAGCATTATCTTTATCTAATTTGTATTCTAATGGTATAACTTAAGGATATAATTAATATTATTTTTTAATATTAATGAGTATAAAAAATAATAAAAATTAACATTAATTTTATCATCAATATTATTAACTATTTAAATAATTCAGTAGTAATTTTCTTTCACTGAAAATAAGAGATTCTAAATTTGAATTGCATAGCATACGAGTGAGTTAAAATAAAAAATAATTTACCTCCTGTTATGCAACCCATTTCTTATCCCAACATAAAAAAAAAATTTATCATCAATGTTACATGTATTATTTTAATTAGATAATTAATTAAATAAATA